AATTAAACGACTATCTATCGCAACTGTTTTTGTATATATAACATGCATGAAATGAATAATTCATAATTAAACCTTTGGTGCACTAATAACCTATATACCAAATTTTTAAACTTATGAAACTTTAGAATAAAATTTTATCTGCGATAAACATGTAATTTATCGAGATATCGCGACAATATCGCAGCAATTATAGCCATTGCACCACCAAATCTAAACACCCAACCAAATGCATCATTATTATCTACACCAGAAATATCATTTACCAGCTTAATAATTACAGAACTGGTTAAAGATACAACTAATTGAGGTAATACAATATATAAATTATGTACACCCAATATCATCCCTGCAGCAAACTTTTCCTCTTCATTATGCAAAGTAGTAGCTGCAGATGATGAAGTTGGAGTGAGATCTAAACTCATACAAGCTTCTTCTTCATCATTGTTTGTTAATGGTCTAACATCAGTGTTTTCTTGTATTTCTCGTTCATCTTCTTGCCCTACGTATTCACCAACCAATGCAAATGGTATCCACATTGAAATTGCCCATGGAATACCAAAACTACCAATAAGTAAGATTGATTGTTCAACATTATTTACAAAGGAAGTACTCCATGCTATCAAAGCAAATAAAATGTGAGAGATTGTATAAATGTTGTAAATGGTGAAAGGGTTTTTGCTCGAAGGAGAGGTTGGAGTAAAGTGTGGAATAATAGAACCGGCCAAAAAAGATATCCATGAATACATTAACAACGCAAATGATCCATAACGAGTTGATTTTTCAAAGAAATCAGGATCATCAATTGAATGGGTTCTTGCGTATACTGAAGCTATCCAACTCGAGCTTGACAAGGTATAAAGCGTGAATATTTATAGGTATGTAAGGGATTTGAATAGGTTAAAGAATTTTACTTACCTAAAAAACAAAAAAGGAAACCAACCCATCCAAGAAAAGAATTGAACGTTGCAAATTTTTTGAATAGGAGGGGGAAGAAATCTGATTGCTTTATATATATATAAAAATGTATTATACAATGAACTAACAAATAAAATTATTTTAATTAATAAAAATTTATAAAACTCATAAAATTTAAATAGGTTTATAATAAAAGAACCACCTTGAATCATCATCTACAGGTTCATATACTTTTTCTTTGACATTTAAGCATGTGTAAAGCAATGATAGTGTAAACACTATACATGCGACTATACATAAAACTTTGAGTTGACTATCTCCTAAGAACGGAAACAAAGCTAATAAATCCAAAAACCCGGTGAAATATCCAGCAATATTTCCAATATGTAACATTCTACCGGCCCATGCATTACCAGTTTCTTGCTGATAAACAGGAGGAATGTCAAGAATTAAAGCACGTATGGAAGCTTGAACAGCATTTAAAGAAAAATCCAAAAAATAAAATCCAATGACTGCGATAATAATCGCAACGTTTTTAACCTGTTATATTGAAACGAAGAAGACTCAGATACTATTTATCTATAAAAATAAGAATTAAAGTCAATAAATAAACTTAAAATTACCTCTTCATTTAATTTAACTGTTGTTTTTTTGCCAAGAAAACGCGCAGCCCATTCCTTTGAATAAGCGATAGAGACCATGGATAAACAAACTAATAACCCTCCAATAAGAATGAATGGTCTTCGGCGACCTATTCTAGAGGTGCATTTGTCACTAAATGCACCGACAAGTGGTTGCACTACAAAGCCAGATAGTGGACCCGCAAACCAGACAAGAGCTATAAGCTCCGGTGATAGTCCTAATGATACCAAATACGGTGTTCCATAACTGTGGTTTAAAGGAATGAGGGTTCATACTTAAAAAACAAATTCGCATTTCACAAAATCCAAATTTGAAAAAACTTTTGGAAATTGAAAATCAATACCCAAAAGTACTCACGAAAATTCAACAGTCCCTAAAGTTATTTTTTTGCAAGATAGAACATAAGACTTTGATATTTAAAAAAAAACGATATAAATGCATAAATTCCAACCCTAAAGACAAAAATAAATTCACTATTTCAAAATGTTTTTTGAAACATATTCCAGAATAGACTACTTACATGCGAATTGTAGACCAGCCATGCAAAGCGTCAACTTAATCATTTCCCATTGGGACAAAGATTCCTCCTCAAGTATTTCATGATTGTCTATGCTCTGATAAGAAGTGGACTTGGACTTTTTAGAATTTAAAAGAGGTCGAGAAACTTGAGTAGAAATAGATTTAGATTCCATTTCAAAAGAAAATTAAAAAATAGAAAATAACGTCTTGTATCTTTTAAACGGTTAAAAAAATTTAACGTGACAATCAAATGAATTGATTTAGTGACACCGAAACTATCTCATAACTCTAAATAAGCACAAATATGGAACGGGTACTGGTTCATATGATAATCTAATCACGAATGATTTAAGATTGATGTACATATATACATATTGAATAACCGGATAACTGGACTAATGCGATCTCACTAAGTAAAGAAATGAGTAATATTAAGTAATTTATTTTAATGTGAAGTAGGGTCTTGAACATGGTATTGACATGCCCAATCGAGTAATCAGGTGATATGGGAGCGTGGGAATAAATGATAATTTGTTTAATTTAACCTGAAATTAGAAAACACTGGGGACATTTTACGAAAATCAACTGATTATCCAGGTGATAAAGATTGCCAACATTCTATATTTAATCATTAAAGCAAATAATTTAAACCCGGTACCCAAATGCGGTGCCCTCTCTAATTGGTAAGTCTGAAGTCTGAAAAATGTCACTATAGACTCTAGCTACTCTAGCTAATATTTTTTTAATATTCTGAAATGATTTAATCCATAGAAACTTATTTAAATATCCGAAATGAGATATTCTTTTACACATATGGTTATTATGAATAGGGATGGCAAAAAAACGTTTTTTAATGATTTTTAATGATTTTTGAGTTGTTTTAAATCAGATAACTGAAACTGAAAATTACTATATATAATTGGACCATTTTAATTTGATCGATGACATTTATTTCGTAGGTACGA